GGAGCTTCCTCATGCCCTGAGTGGGGAGATGGCGAGGACACCAAGTTCTGTTGTGGGACTTGCAGCTGACCCTACTGTTGCTCATTGCAAGAAGCTCGCTTACATCTTTGGGCTAATAGTATCCTTGCTGCTATTAGTATCCTTGCTAATCCTTGCTGCTAATAGTATCCTTGCGGGTGGCGCTGTGGCTTAAACCACAGAGCCTAGGACTTGCCAATCAGAAGGTCAGTGGTTCGAATCCCCGTGACGGGGTGAGCTCCTGTTGCTGGGTCCCTGCTCCTGCCAACCTAGCAGTTCGAAAGCACATCAAAGTACAAGTAGATAAATAGGTACCCCTCCGGCGGGAAGGTAAACGGCGTTTCCGTGCGCTGCTCTGGTTCGCCAGAAGCGACTTAGTCATGCTGGCCACATGACCCGGAAGCTGTCTGCGGACAAACACCGGCTCCCTCGGCCAATAAAGCGAGATGAGCGCCGCAACCCCAGAGTCAGTCACGACTGGACCTAATTTACCTTTTACCTTTTATCCTTGCTGCAGCTATTGCATATAAAAACATTTTTTTTACCATTCTTATGAATTTCTGTACCCACCATACCCAATAGAAGGGCTTTTGGTTTTTTAACAAATGTATATTTCAACATTTGTTTTTATCTCATTATAAATCATTTCCCAGGAGTCCTTCACTTTCTTACATTCCCACCACATATGGTAAAAGGTACCCTCTTTTTCTTTACATTTCCAGCATTTGTTATCTGTTTTATATATTTTAGCTAATTTCGCTGGTGATATATACCACCTATACATCATTTTCATAGTATTTTCTTTCAATGCACTGCACGCAGTAAAATTTATTCCTTCTTTCCATAATTTTTCCCAGTCTTCTATTTGTATATTATGAACAATATCATTGGCCCAATGGATCATAACTGATTTAACTTCTTCATCTTTCAAATGCCATCCAATAATAATTTATACATTTTAGATAATATTTTAACCCTATTACTTAATAACTCCAATTCAAATCTTGATTTTGTATACTCAAATCCATTTTTATTTTTATCCTCTTTAAACATTTCATTGACTTGACAATAATGCAACCAATCATTCACCATACATTTTACATATTCATATGGCTTTAATTTCTATTGGTTCTCCCTCTCTATTACTAGTTGCTCATAGGTGGCCCAGTTTTTCCTCATATTTATCTTTTTTATACTCATTGCCTCAAGTGGCGAGAGCCACCATGGTGTCTTACGTTCTAGTACATTTTTGTATCTACCCCACACCTCAATGACTTTAGAAATATGTGGTTTCCACCATTTGGTATCCATATTTAGTTACCGCCATGCGTCCCAAATACATCATTGCAACTGGAGGCAAGTCTCCCTTCAGTAGAAGTACAGACTTGGCAAAGAACTCTTAACTTCTGGCTCCGCCAAAACTCAGACACCCCTGGTTTACTATCCCTAGTACTTCAAGACTCCCATAAAATTGCCTGGCTTAAAACCATGTATCAAAAACTTCACTCTTGTGGCCTATCCCCACAACACCTACTCACTATGGGCCCTACTAAAGCAAACAGTCTAACTGGTCAACGTCTAAAAGATACTGAGCATCAGAACAACCTGGCCACTATATGGAAATTCTGCCCTTGGTATGTTCATTTTCCACCTCTCCATTTTGATTCTCTGGCCCCATATCTGCACAAACTTATTATCCCAAAATACAGATGTGCTTTTACACCTGCAAGACTGGATGTTTTGCCATCTGCAGTACTTATGGGTCAATTCCAAAAGATCCCGCCTGAGAAACGTTTGCCCCTGTGGAGACAATAGCACCAAAAAAGCGGCACATGTCCTTCTGTCTTGCACTCTCTACAAAGACCTGAGGAATGAGATAATCACCCCACTCATACTAACCATCCCAGGGTGCTCAACCACTGCCACAATGTCCTTTCTCCTATCAGATCAAAATGAGCAGATAACAGCAAAGGTTGTTAGGTTCATAGCAGGGGCAATCAGAATAAGGGCCACTGACTGACTGCTGATTCAGGACTTTAAATTGTGCTCTTAGATCAAATTTCCCTTTCTGCATATACTGTAATGTTTTATTGTTGCTATGGCCATTGGCTAATGCGAATAAAGTTTTTACCTATCTATCTTGTAATCAATTGACATCACTTGTATGGTTAAAAGAAGTTTTGTAAGGAGTAATTTATAAATTACTGTGAAAAGAATTAAGAATAGATGTATTGGAAATTTGAGTTTATAGCAATAATTATAGAAATAAAATGCATAATTAGAAAGACTTTAGAAAACCATCATTTGAGGTTGAAGGAAGTCTTAGGCTGTGATAGCCAAAATTTTTGAAAAGATGTTTAAAAGTATGTTATTCTGGAAAATATGTGTAAAAACAAAACAAGAAAATACCCTTTTTTTAAAAAAGGAAGAAGCTTGCTTAAACCAAACTCTCTGCAGCACCGAAGGACAGTGGGAAGGGATGGATGGGAAGTGCTGAGAATGGTGTGGTGACTCCACCCTCCATTGGTGGTAAGTTTGCGGGGGGAGGGGAGGGGGATCTTGGCAGCAAAGAGACACAACGAAACCTTGTGTGGATCAGGGAAATGAATCAGCTCTACATAGATACGTTTTCATTTTGCATTAAATAGACCAAGTAATCTTCTAGATATAGAGTATGTTGCTCTGCTTACCCTAAGTTGTCTTTCATTTGTTTGTGAAAATTGCATTGGTGTGTTGTAAAGGTAAAGGTAAAGGGACCCCTGACCATTAGGTCCATTAGTGGCCGACTCTGGGGTTGCGGCGCTCATCTCGCTTTATTGGCCGAGGGAGCCGGCATACAGCTTCCGGGTCATGTGGCCAGCATGACTAAGCCGCTTCTGGTGAACCAGAGCAGCGCACATAAACGCCGTTTACCTTCCCGCCGGAGAGGTACCTATTTATCTACTTGCACTTTGACGTGCTTTCAAACTGCTAGGAGGGCAGCAGCAGGGACCGAGCAACGGGAGCTCACCCCGTTGCGGGGATTCGAACTGCCGACCTTCTGATTGGCAAGTCCTAGGCTCTGTGGTTTAACCCACAGTGCCACCCACATCCCCTTGGGTGTGTTGTAAGCGCTGTCAATTCACTATACCTGCTGACTCCAGTTAATACATTAGTTCAGGAGAGGCTATAGTGGGAAAGTGCACCTCCTTGCTGTTGTCTTCTCTCATGCCCTCTCTTCTTTTAAGCACATCAGTGCATTCATAGCAGGGTTGGATCCTCACATGCTACTAATCTAACTAGATTGCAGGGCAGTATATTAAGTGCATTGCCTTCAGGAATATAGGTCACACCTGCACCATACATTTAAAGCACTACTGCACCACTTAACAGTCATACTTTCCCCTGAAGAATTATGGGAACTGAAGGTGAAGAAGAAGAGTTTGGATTTGATATCCCGCTTTATCACTACCCGAAGGAGTCTCAAAGCGGCTAACATTCTTCTTTCCCCTCCTCCCCCACTACAAACACTCTGTGAGGTGAGTGGGGCTGAGAGACTTCAAAGACGTGTGACTAGCCCAAGGTCACCCAGCAGCTGCATGTGGAGGAGCAGGAACATGAACCCGGTTCACCAGATTACGAGTCCACCGCTCTTAACCACTACACCACACTGCTGTTAGGAGACCTCTTACAGTGCTGGGAAATGGGGCATGTTTAAAAAATATTTTGTGGATCATTGTAAAAACATGATGTCTGTGGCAGCCTTTAAATAATTTCTGTGATACATCAGATAAGTACAAGGAAATACTTTATTCATGGAACTTAACAAAGATAACTGAAGTAATTAGTGTGTTAGGTTAACCAAGGTTTACAGGCATGAGAGGTTGACAGGAAGTTGTTAGAATCTGGAGAGGAGTGTGATACAGTGTAACAAAATTACAATTTTCTTTTTATTTTTGTTATGGATAACCTTGTTTTATGTTCCTTTTTTCTAATTTTCAATAAAGCATTTTAAAAGGGGGGGGGAGTGCCAGTCCAAATTGGTTCAATACTGGTTTATTGTGTTTGATGCATGTATTTATTTTATTTTATGTATCTGCTACATTTAATTCCATTATTACTTCAAGGAAGTGAAGGCAGTTAAATGAGTTCCTGTTTTGCAGGGAGTGGTCCCTTCCAACTCTACAATTCTATGATTCTACTTCATTCTCTCCACCTCAATTCTACCCTCGCAACAACCCTGCAGTGTAAGTTAGATTGAGAGATACTGATTGGCTCAAGGTGAGCTTCATGGTCCAGTAGGAATCTGGTCCTCCTAGGCCAGCACTCTGACCACTACACCACACCGCCCCTTAAAAAGCCTAACGGAACAATACAGGCCTCTAAGTGGTCCTGTATCGCATCTAGACGGAGCTTTCCTTGCCATCAAATATCTTCAAGCTCCGTTTGTTTGTAACTCAAACGTTTTGGCTGTTACTCCTGAGTAAGCTTGGGTGGATTCGTGAGGATAGCCCCCTAGGAATTGGGAAGGAAAGCAAATTCAGTTCGCTTCTGGAGCTTCTGGCGCCCACTTCCAACGAGGAGGGAGCATTTCGATGCCCCACCAGCACTCCGTACTAGAGCAGCTGCATTGAAGGCGCAAGCTCCCTGGTTCAATCCCCGGGCAGGGACGGGAATGCCCCACCCATCGACCCCTGTTTCGAAAATCCGGAGAAGCGCTGCCGGATAGATCGATTAGGTGGATCGACCAAGGGTCTGGCTTCCAGTGTAAGCTGGCTTTCTGCAGGCGGCGCAGAAATGGGGGCCGCTCCAGCAGAGACTGCGGCCTTGCAGCCCTTATCAGAGGAAGTTTGCCACCAAGGACAGCGCCTGACTGACTGGCTGCGCTTGCGTGGGACGGACTTGTGCGGGTGTGGGGCGGGTTAGACTAGCCAGCCAGACGTCGTTCGCTCGCTGGAGAGGTTCGGTTCCTCGAGGTGAGCCCAGCTGGGAGTTGCGCCGCCATGAAGCGGGCTCTGTTCTTCCTGCTGTTGCTGCCGCGCTTTCTGCCTTGTGGCGAGCCCCAGAGCACGGTCCCTGCTACCATCGAAGCCCCCCAGTTGCTGAACGAGACCAATGGATCGACGTGCGACCAGTGGCTGTACGGGACGGAGCCGCCGCAGGTGAAGGCTTTCCAGTGCGTGGAGCAGCGCACCGGCATCGAAGTTAAGTTCTGCTGCGGGACCTGCGGCCAGCCAAGCAATTGTTACTTCGAAAAGCTCCTCGAGGGCCCCACAGCGCGCCCTACCGACGGTGGCCTAGAACTGCTCCCTCCTGCACCTCCAGCGCCACGTAAGGCGGCTAGCTCCCTTGGCTTTATTAGCACCTCGACACTATCTGGGCCTCGGTCTGCATGCAAACCCGCCGTTCTCTCTCTTTTAGACACGGGTCCCCCATTCCCTGTCGGCTTCCCTTTCGGTCTATCGCTCTCTTCCCCGCCCTTGAACTGGGGATGCGGCTCAGAGGCTCCACTCGACGGGGAGGGCGCCTTCGAAGCCCCTTTCGCCTCTGCAAGAAGGCTGCGCGCTTTCGCTTGGGAAGGGAGGCTAGGAACGGGCACTCCGGGAGGGAGGGTGGCTAGGAACGGGAAGTCCAGTGCGCAGAAGACTTGGGGGGCAAGAACCGCTTCGAGGGTGCTTCAAGGGGGTCGTGTGGGCCCAGTCTTAGGCTGCGCTAAGACGTCTTCTGGTGCTGTGAAAAATTCGTCGGTCTTTCACGTGCCTGAAGACTCTGGGTTGCCACGGGCGGACTAGCTTGCTGACGGTTCTGCAAGTAGATCCGAAAGACATGGGCAAGATTTGTACACGGGGTGGGGACAGGAAACTTTTCCCGATGATATCCGCAGTGTCCTGCCTTCTAGGTTGCTTCAGTGCAGGCTGCCCCAGTTACTACCAAACACTTTTCTTTCCTGTCTTGGAGTCTTGACTCCTGAAGTGAGACACGGGGGGGGGGGGGGGCTTGCAGTATGAGATACTCCACCTCACGATGCTAACTATACCCGCCCCAGGCTTTCTGGGGGGGGGGGTTACAAATCCCTAGCTCCATTCCTAGAGAGTCCAGTTTGTGCAGTTGAGCAAAACAAGTGAGCAAATTGATAGCAGAACAAACACTGATCAATATCTTTCTTCTGTTTCAGACATGGACAGGCTGACCTGGTTTTGGGGAGGAGTTATTGCCAATGCAATATTTTACTGGGCTTTTATCCGCACTTGCAGAAGATTCTGGCGGAGGAAGACTACCCAAGAAAGACCCGTGGAGGGCCTTGAGCTAGACACCAGCTCTTCTGGGAGATCAAGTGATCATCGTGACCCCTCTTGTGCCTCCACCAGATTGGTTCCGCCATCGTCTGAAGGTGCAGAGGGTCTTGCTGCTGCATCTGGCAGCGCACCTAGTGTACAGCCCCAAGCTGAGGGCTCTGAGAATGTGACCATCATGTGGACAGGATTTGTCCCATTCCGAGTTGGTGCTACTTCTCCCTCTCAGCCAAAGCAGGGCCGCAAAAAGCGTCGGGCTAAGGCAAAGAAGGCAAAGAAGGCAAAGAAGGCAAAGAAGTAAGAGATCCTCCTCTCATTCAAAGGGTTAGGCTTCCCTGTCAAAGTTGAGTCTAGTACTCATCATCCACAGCATGCTTTGTAGCATCATTGAAATTGGCTAATCCTATGAGGAGGATGTCTAACCATCTATTAACTAGAATTACTACTACTATTGGTAAAAAGGTAAAAAGTTAAAGGACCCCTAAATGGTTAACTCCAATTAAAGGCAACTATGGGGTTGCAGCGCTCATCTCACTTTCAGGCCAAGGGAGCTGGCATTTGTCCACAGACAGCTTTCTGGGTCATGTGGCCAGCAGGACTCAACTACTTCTGGTGCAACGGAACACTGTGACGGAAACCAGAGTGCACAGAAATGCTGTTTACCTTCCCGCCGCAGCGGTACCTATTTATCTACTTGCACTGCGTGCTTTCGAACTGCTAGATCGGCAGGAGCTGGGACAGAACAACAGGAGCTCACCCCATTGTGGATATTTGAACTGCCGACTTTCTGATTGGCAAGCCCAAGAGGCTCAGTGGTTTAGACCACAGCACCACCTGCGTCCTTACTGCTGTTATGCAATACTGTCAGGCCCCTTTTTTATTATGTATTGTCACTTAAATGTGCATTGGTTGTGCTATCAGTGTGGATCAGCCCCCCCCTTTTTTTCTTTTTTTACTTTTCCTATAGGTGGTTTGCTGCCTGCTATGTATTGTCAAATGTATCAATAAAAATGTTTGCTTCTCAACCTGGTCTCTTCAATTCTACTTTTTACTTCTTCTTTTTATTAAAGATTTTCTTGTTTTACAGAAGTATGTGTAATGTCTCTTGTATTTTTTCCATGTAGCATTTTTACAAATCAGTTTCATTTGTTGAGACATTGCAGGGGGGGAGGGGGGAAGATGGGTGGGGCTGGGGTTTGGTGGCGATGTTTCTATTCTGCTTAATGTATGTAGGGTTTGGTGTCAGCATTGCTCGTGTTGTTCATTTGTGTTTCTTTGATGGTGAGAGAGGTTGGAGTTGGCCTAGGGTGTGGTTCTTTGTTTGTGATTGGCTGTGGTGATCTTTGTTTTCGTGTGTGAGTGGGGTGGGTGGGTGTTTAGGATCAGGTTAGCCATATTGATTTGTATGCTGTTGGTGGATTCCAACTTCCAAATTTACTGGTGGAGTAAATTTGCACCTGGGACTTGATATGATGTGATTCAAGGGTTTAACTGCGTCCATTAGCTCTCTAGCCTTGATTAGTCCCTACAGATGAAATTCTGTTAGCTTACTAATATGTTTATATTTCACCCTTCCTCCAAGGAGCCTTGTGATGTAGGTTAGAAAGTGAGAGAGTGATGGCCTGATGTTGCCCAAGGAGTGCCATGGAGCAGGAGGGATTTGAACCCCGCCCTCCCAATCCCTAGTCCAACACTCTCATTGTTACCCTATACAATACTTGATTAAAAACCCTAAATAGTCACAGGTCACCCTGGTGATTGACTCAGGCAAAGATGGTAGGCTGGCTTGTGGAACTGGTGGGGGGGTCTTGGGTGCTCTCACCCTTAATGTTCCTATTTCTCTCTCTCTCTGCTCCTTCCTTGCCCTCCATGAGGTGGGGCCTTAAGATACTGAGAGGGAGCAAAAAGTTGTAAACCTCCCCTCCCTCTTCCACAATTCTGATGGAAGAACCCTCCCCACAAACATAAATCCACATGGGAGTCACAGGGAGGGAAGATTCAACCAGCTGAGGTAGCATCACTCAGCAAGGGAAAAGAGATGGGGGGGGGGAGCGTGAAGCATCTCTGATTCTACCCTCTGCCGAGAGATTACTCCAAGAGAATCCAGCTGTTGATGGGAGAAAGGCTGCCCACTCCTCTTCTCCCTGCCACACTTTATTCAAGTCTATAGCACTATGTGTTGGCAGGGCGCAAGCACAGCATGGGGGCATTCCAAACCTCAGCCAGGGGAGCATCATGACAGCACAGAGCAGCACATCCAAATTGCTCTGCCAGTCTGGAGCCCAAGTCAGGCCAGATAGAATCATGACTTAACATCATCATCATCATTTTTTATTTTTATGCCACCTTTCCACAGTTAAAAAAACAATGCTCAAGGTGGCTTACAGCATAACAAGATTGACATAATTACAAAAGCAATAAACAATAACTAAACCACATTAAAAATACACAAACAAATGGGAAACAAATTCCAAATAAATCAAAACCCAGAACTAAGAATACAGCATGAATATCAAAGTTTAAAATGACATAGGTAAAAAATAACAGCAATTTAAACAAAAAACAAAGACAAAATAAAATGGAGCCCTCTGTGCCCAGCGGCAGTGGCAGCAGCAGCAGCAGCATTTCTTATAGGGCCGTCAGGCCCCACCATGGGAAAGGTGGTGAGTGGCAGGACTGGGGCCCTCAGGCGCTGAGCAGGGGAGTCCTCCTGGGTGTCATCCGCAGCAGCTGTTCTTATTAGCCCGTCAGGCCCCTCCCTGGGCCAGGTGTTGAGTGGCAGGAATGGGGCTCCCAGGTGCTGAGCAGGGAAGGCCTCCTGGTTGTCAGTCAAAGCAGCAGTTCTTATAGGCCTGTCATCCCCTGCCCTGGGCCAGCTATTGCGTGGCAGGACTGGGGCCCTCAGGCACTGAGCAGGGAAGTCCTCCTGGGTGGCAGCCGCAGCAGCAGTTCTTATAGGCCTCTCAGGCCCCTCCCTGGGCCAGGTGTTGAGTGGCAGGACTGGGGCCCTCAGGCGCTGAGCAGTGAAGTCCTCCTGGGTGGCAGCCGCAGCAGCAGTTCTTATACATCTCTCAGGCCCCGCCTTGGGCCAGGTGTTGCGTGGCAGGACTGGGGCCCTCAGGTGCTGAGCAGGGATGTCCTCCAGGATGTCAGCTGCAGCACCAGTTCTTATAGGCCTGTCAGGCCCCGCCCTGAGCCAGGTGTTGTGTGGCGGGACTGGGGCCCTCAGGCACTGAGCAGCGGAGTCCTCCTGGGTGTCAGCCGCACCAGCAGTTCTTATAGGTCTCTCAGGCCCCTCCCTGGGCCAGGTGTTGAGTGGCAGGACTGGGGCCCTCAGGCGCTCAGAAGCGAAGTCCTCCTAGGTGGCAGCTGCAGCAGCAGTTCTTATATGTCTCTCAGGCCCCTCCTTAGGCGAGGTGTTGCGTGGTAGGACTGGGGCCCTCAGGCGCTGAGCAGGGAAGTCCTCCTGGGTGGCAGCCACAGCACCAGTTCTTATAGGCCTGTTAGGCCCCGCCCTGGGCCAGGTGTTTTGTGGCAGGACTGGGGCTCTCAGGCGCTGAGCAGGAGAGTCTTCCTGGGTGGCAGCTGCAACAGCAGTGCTTAAACGCCTGTCAGGCGCTGCCTTGGGCCAGGTGTTGCGTGGCAGGATTGGGGCCCTCAGGCGCTGAGCAAGGAAGTCCTCCTGGGTGCCAGCCACAACAGAAGTTCTTATAGGCCTGTCAGGCCCCGGCCTGGGCCAGGTGTTGAGTGGCAGGACTGGGGCCCTCCGGCGCTGAGCAGGGAAGTCCTCCTAGGTGGCAGCCGCACCAGCAATTCTCATAGGTCTCTCAGGCCCCTCCCTGGGCCAGGTGTTGAGTGGGAGGACTGGGGCCCCCAGGCGCTGAGCAGGGGAGTCCCCCTGGGTGTCATCCACAGCAGCTGTTCTTATTGGCCCGTCAGGCCCCTCTCTGGGCCAGGTGTTGAGTGGCAGGACTGGGGCTCCCAGGTGCTGAGCAGGGAAGTCCTCCTGGTTGTCAGTCACAGTAGCAGTTCTTATAGGCCGGTCATGCCCCGCCGTGGGCCAGTTGTTCTGTGGCAGGACTGGGTCCCACAGGCATTGAGCAGGGAAGTCCTCCTGGGTGGCAGCTGCAGCAGCTGTACTTATAGGCCTGTCAGGCCCCGCGCTGGACCAGGTGTTGCGTGGCAGAACTGAGGCCCTCAGGTGCTGAGCAGGAGAGTCTTCCTGGGTGGCAGCCGCAACAGCAGTGCTTAAATGCCTGTCAGGCGCCGCCTTGGGCCAGGTGTTGCGTGGCAGGACTGAAGCCCTCAGGGGCTGAGCAAGGAAGTCCTCCTGGGTGCCAGCCGCAACAGAAGTTCTTATAGGCCTGTCAGGCCCTGGCCTGGGCCAGGTGTTGAGTGGTAGGACTGGGGCCCTCAGGTGCTGAGCAGGAGAGTACTCCTGGGTGGCAGTCACAGCAGCAATTCTTATAGGTCTCTCAGGCCCCTCCTTGGGCCAGGTGTTGAGTGGGAGGACTGGGGCCCTCAGGCGCTGAACAGGGGAGTCCTCCTGGGTGTCATCCGCAGCAGCAATTCTTATAGGTTTCTAAGGCTCCTCCCTGGGCCAGGTGTTGTGTGGCAAGACTGGGGCCCTCAGGCGCTGAGCAGGAAACTCCTCATTGGTGTCAGTCACAGCAGCAGTTCTTATAGGCCTCTCATGCCCTGCCCTGGGCCACATGTTGCGTGGCAGGTCTGGGGCCCTCAGTTGCTGAGCAGGGAAGTCCTCCTGGGTGTCAGCCGCAGCAGCAGTTCTTATAGGTCTCTCAGGCCCCATCCTGGGCCACATGTTGCGTGGCAGGACTGGGGCCCTCAGGCGATGAGCAGCGAAGTCCTCCTGGGTGTCAGCCGCAGCAGCAGTTCTTATAGGCTTGTCAGGCCCCATCCTGGGCCACATGTTGCGTGGCAGGACTGGGGCCCTCCGGCGGTGAGCAGCGAAGTCCTCCTGGGTGTCAGCCGCAGCAGCAGTTCTTATAGGTCTCTCAGGCCCCTCCTTGGGCCAGGTGTTGTGTGGTAGGACTGGAGCCCTCAGGCGCTGAGCAGGGGAGTCGTCCTGAGAGTCAGCCGCAACAGCAGTCGTTATAGGCCTGTCAGGCCCCGCCCTGGGCCAGGTGTTGCGTGGCAGGACTGGGGCCCTCAGGCGCTGAGCAGGGAAGTCCTCCTGGGTGTCAGCCGCAGCAGCAGTTCTTATAGGCCTGTCAGGCCCCATCCTGGGCCACATGTTGCGTGGCAGGACTGGGGCCCTCAGGCGCTGAGCGGGGAAGTCCT